CGTTGCAGGAGAGCAGGGAGCCGCTGCCGTCGCAGCCGCACACGCGGATGCTCAGCGTATTGGTGCTGCTCAGCGGGGGCACGCCGCCGTCGCTGATTACGATGGGGAGGAGGTACAAATCCTGCTTCTGCCGGCTGAACCCTTCCCGCCTGACCAGCACACTCGCTGTGTTATCTGGTTGGAGAAGAGAGAGGGTCATTGTTAATTCTTTCACAGTCACGCTCTTAGCCAATATTGAAAAGGAAATTATCTCGCTGCAAAGGCTCTCAATTTTCTGGGGCTTTAGCGTCATTTCTACAATAAACCAGCAGAAAGTGCTGCCTTTGTAATGACCTAAGAGCAATTACAGATTGTATTTAATTCATATAGCACCACACTCAGCTTTAATTCTTTAATTAACACAAGCAACACAGATAATCTCTGTCTGATAGCGCCTTTTAGTATCTGTAACTTTCTGAGAAATTCACAATATTTTTTCAACCACCCAAATGGCTGGACCTTCTTATTGCTGTCTGATCCAGTTTTAGTGTCTCTCCAGAATTAAAGCTTTCAATGGAGGGGTAAAACCCCTATCTCCCTTATGAGTTCTTGGAGTCACATCTAAAAGCGTGGTAGATGCTGTCCCCAAATGGGCTCTGATAATGAAACTCCCATCAAAACAAAAACCCATATTTGCTGTGTATGAGCAAATTTGAGCCTTGTTTTTTCAGCAAGGAATGCTGAAGGTGACATTGTTTTATCAGAATCTGGTTTTCACCCAAACTTCCAAAGCCATAATTCAGAGAGCTTGATCATACATGCACAGTATGTCTGGTCACATTTTGAATCATGTGGATGTGAGGAAGAGTTAAATCACAGACTCAAAATGCCCTGAGTTGGAAGGGACCCACAGGGGTCCATGAGTCCAACTCCTGGCAGTATTTCTGTAACTCTGTTCCCATTGCCCTCACGAGAGGTGACCTGCCATGGTGCAGGACATTTTGGATGGTCCTGCATACTTCCTCTGGCTAGAGCCTTGGAAAGGGGACAGTGTGAGATGACACTCTGGGCTGAGGCTGCCTGTGCTTCCTGCTCTCAGAACACCAACAGGGCTCCCTTGTTGCGCCCCTCCTCTGTCTCTCAGCTCAGCCTAAACCAAAGTTTATAACAGTTGTAAACATCCCAAAGTAAATAAAGTGAAGCAATCACATCCACAGTTTTCAGACCTTCAAAAGCCAGTTTATATTGAAGATTTATTCCATACAACCTTTCCTGGCTTGCTATGTTCTTTATTTTTCACTGTATAACAGAAAGGGAGGGGGAAAAGAGCAGTTCTTTATCTTCTGAGGGAGGGCTGTTCACCTCCTAAGGTACCCACTTTACTGCTGCCTCAGGCTTCTGCAGATTAATTGTTTTCCTGTTGAAGAGTCAGCATAAATCCCAGAATTTAATAATGCAAACCATAAAACCTCTCCTAATGATCTAATCACTGTGATTTCCATGAAAATCTGTGAATAAATTATACCTGAAGAGAAGTGTTCTTGCCTTGCATTAACCTCCCCCCTTGCAGGCAGTGCCCTCGATGTAGGACAAGGTCTGAAACTGCCCCCAGATTTGGTCAATCTATGGGATGAGGAGGATTGCACTGCTTGACTCTCCCAGGAACTTCACCAGAAAGGATGAATATTTAAGGTAGGAGCTGTTTGTTACACAGCAAATGAATCCATCCCCCATACCTGCCCCTGTCCTGCCAGCCGCACCCCTAGTGCCCTGAATGGCCACCTGGGCTTGACACAACTGCTGCTTTCTGGTGCTGAGTCTCACAAAAACAACGGCTGGGTAGAAAGGAGCTTGTTAACTTCTCCTTTGCACAATGTCACATTTGCTAAGGACAGAGACACTGATAAAGATCTGATTGTTTATCACTTGTGCCTGTTGGAGGTGTCTCCCTCAGAGTCCTTCTAATCTCCTGAATGTTTACATGACATTTAAACTTTGAGGCACAATTTTTTACAGGACCTTGGTGATATCAATGTCTGCATGACAAAAGCCTTATTTCAGGACTTTAATGGGCTCGTAACAATTTGGTACAAATAGGAATGCAACATCTAATATCTATTAACCTATCAGCTAACTTGAACTAAAAACAGGGGGGCTGAGCTACAGCTGCCTCGAGGCTGCCAAGGCAATGTGTAAGGAATGACAATACCATATATTAGTATATATAGTCTTTGGCTATGCATTTTTTATCACAGATTTTATTTTTCTTACCTTTTGTTGGCTGAAATAGTATTCCTAATTTAAAATAAGAAAAGGGTGGCAAATTATTTAGCTGTTATGCACACTGGCCTGGTCCACTGCAGTCACTTACACTAAACAAAACTGATTTTGATCCAATGGCTGATCTATCTGTTTTAATGGGAAGCGATTTTTGGTTTAACATAAATTTTTAAAAAGAAAAATCCAATCAACATGCCTGACTAAAGTTTAAAAAGAAATACAATACATCAAGCTTAAAAGGTCATTTTTTAAACTTCTACTGTTTATGTTCAGTTCTCACATTTAGAAGAAACATAATATCCATTATAGGAAAAAAACCCCTCCTTTCTTACCTAGATAAAAGATAACATATAATCCTAGCTAATATTCTCATCCTTGCTTTTTTATTATTTTCAAGGCCCAGGAGTAGAACTCTAATCCTGGTAAAATGGCATTTTTTAAGCCAACAGAAGTTAAATGTCAATACCAGCTTAAAACTATTACTTAACACATATGGGAGCCACTTGACTGTCAGTCCTAATTAACACAACGGGGGTCAACACAAGAAGGAAAAGAACAGTCATCTCAAGGCCATTCCCAAAATATATCACATTTTTCCAGCGACTATTGCCTTGGCTATCCAATATCCAAAGATGTTACAAGTGAAGATTCCCTGTGTTCTCCATGAAATCTTTACATTTAGAAGCTAAAATTGCATTATTTCTTGGTGATACCTATACTGATCTCTCTGACCTTTGATTTTTCGCTGGTGATCTTATTGATATTTCCAATTTTTCCTGTGTGCATAGGCAAATGTAGCTTAGTTTTTGGGGCTTGTTAACACATAGATTGTGTAAGGAGGATTCTAGATTACAGGAGCTGACTGCAGTGTGAACTTTATCACCTGTATCAGGTGTGAGTGCTGATTCAGCCAGAAAATGAAACAATTTCAGGGGTCCAGCTGTCTAAAATCCTTACTTTACCAGGAGTGGCAATCACTGTGGGTAATCCATGACAAAATCCTGTGACTTGATTGTCTGTTTCAAAATTTTCTTGTTGAAAAAGTGTGAAGCACATGTTTGAATTTAAAAAGTGGACTCTGGTCACTGATTTTCGGGGGCTCACAAGTTTAATTTCAGGCTCTGTAAAGCTCTAACCTGTGAATTTGGGACTACAGCCATTCCAGTAATGCTGTGCTGAGGGAGCCCAAGGAAAGGGCATCTCAGCACAGGACCCAGCAGGGTCAAAAGCAGGAAATCCATTTACTCAAAATCTGCCTCTGCTGTGAAGTGCCACGAGCCTCTGCTGCTGCTTCGAAGGCCTGAATTCAGTGGGAGCAGAACTGAGCAGAGCCCGGGCAGACAGTGCTGTTTGTTTATGAGCTATAATATAAGGAAACAGTGCAAAAGTAATTCTGTGTTTTATCCCAGCGTGGGCTAAGCCATTATCTCATGTTTTCTATGGGAGATGGGCTCAGATGAAGACTTGGTAACACAGTGGGCTATTAATAGGATGTAGAATGCGATTATGCTTTTTTGGATTACTGCAATATGTGATTACTTTCAGGAGCTGGTAAAAAGAAACTCTATTAAATGATAATTATGAGACTGTATGCACTTTAAAGTTCTGTAATAGGCCCAAACACTGGAGTTTTCATTAACTGTTCTCCACAGTTAATAAAGCCATTTTTCTCTGAAAGTAGCAATTCCCTCTGAAAGCTGTGGCATGGCTTATAGAATACTCTGACTTATAACTGTAAAAACAACTTTGAATGACCATGGACATTATTTGACTTGCAAATGGTAACACATTCTCCCTAAGAAGTTTTTTTATATGGGAGTACACAGAATTTTAATTTTTTATTTTGTTCTAGTATAACTTACTTTAAAAAACTCACAAGAATATGTAAATTAATAACATAATTGCACTGAGGAGTGAAAAAAAATGAGGGAAAGAAAGGATGGAAATAAATTAATTTCCTCAGACTATTCATTTCCCAAAAAGAAAATTATATGGGAAGATTCAATCCCTCAATACTATCTTCTTGAAATAACCTTTTGCATTATTGTCAGGTAGAAACCTTACATTAAACTGACATCATAATTTCAACTACAACACATTCTATCTGAGTTAATTTTGTCAGTAACAAATTTTGCTGCAAGTGGCAATGAAGGATGAGCGGGATTGGCTGGAGTCAGGAACCACAAGACCACTCAGAGTATCTCCACTCTGAGCTGTGCTTCCTCTGCTAGATTATAAAATCTAATCTAATTTCAGTTTGATGTAGCGACCATAAAATGTATTTTATAGCAAGCCTTGGTCTACGGGTCTCAAGCAAAGAATACATGCTTATTTACTCCCTTCTAAAAATACACTCATGAATTTTTCAAAACTTGTGTTTTACTACTTTAAAGAGAATAAATATATGCCCTGCACTGGCTCCTTTATGAATTGCTTATGTATGTACAAGTGTCAAGCACCAGGCAACAGTATTACTTTGATCAGTCAGGAATAACAGAGATTTTGTTTGGGAACTCTGATGATAATTACACTCCCTTCAGATGAGGAGAGAGATATAAAGTGTGCCTCAACAGAGCAGTTTTTACTGAAATCATGTATCTGGATTGTGTTGCCTTTTGTATTTCTGGCACTCTTGGATTCATTATTTAAGCCAGTTCAACCAAGTTTGACTTTTCAGAAAACAGTCAAGTTTCCTTCAAACATTAAAGCTTACTAATCAAAACCAACTCCTTAGAAGCTGAAACAGTTTTTTTCCCTGTGAAGGGAAATAAAAAATGAACATTTGAAAATGAAAAAAAAAAAGAATCCAAATATAATTAAATAAATGGAATAAATACATAATGGCTGAACCTTTTTTTTTCAGTTTGCCCACTTCCTCTGCTCCCTCAGCCTCTGGCAAGTCCAGGTTACTGATGTTATTATATTGTGATCAATTGAATTTTGACATTCACCTAGGCCTGACACTTTTTGCTTACAAATTTCTTACATCTTGCCATCAATCTGAATGCAAAGCTCTACTTTATTTTGTGAATATGAAACTGACAAAGGGATCAGGATATGCAGATCCTGAGACAGCCAGCGCAGGTATGTTCCACAGCACAAATCCCTGATTTATTTCCTGCACTGGGCAGTGAGTTGATTCCATTGGGAATCTAGCCCACGTCTCTTGTGATCCATAATTTACAAAAGCTGGCAGGCACAGTGGTGAACAAATACAAGCAACCTAATAATTTATGCTGTCTCAGCTAATTTTAGGTTTGTCTAATTCAAGGAGCTCTGCCAATTCCATTTACTGAGTGTTTGGCAGGGTTTCTATCCTCTTCCTGGGAGATAAAACGGCAGTGGATTCTTCCTATTGGGTATTATTATGTAATTTATAATATGCATTCAAGAAAATTCAAGTGAGTTAACAAACATCCCACTTTCCCAAGAACATCCTTGCATTTTAGCTGTATGCTTTTGCTTTCCTCCCCTAAATCTTGGAGAAAGACACTCTGCCAAAGTTAATGACAATGCTGTTACATGACATTACATTGGCCATTAGTTCTACTTTGTCATTTCTTTGGATTCTGGTAGAGTGGGAATCTTCACACAAACCTCTGTTGTCTCTGAGTGTAAAATTTGGATTATGAATAATTTCAGGTGGTAAACTGAAGATAAATCTTGGTCCATTGGCCGAGTCATCCTTGTCATCAGCACTAATTGTAATAAATTGCTGTAAAAGAAAAGCACTCTGTAAACAAACAGCTCCTTCTCTGGGTATATCACACACAGGCAGCATTCTGAGACAGTCCTTGAGTAAGAATTGTAAAATAGCAGAACCCCCCTCAAATTCAAATATAAGCAAGTAGAAACACAGAGCTGACTCCAAACTACAACAGGCAATCTTTAATTACTATTGCATTAACCACCCCAGAATTACAGCTGTAAAAGCACATATCTTCAACATTCTTGCACACAAATATGTGTTAATAGTAACACAACAGATTAAATAAAATTCTGCAGAAAACTCAGCAGATGAGAAAGTCTCTTTTAAGCTTCCACGCTGACTGCAGAGGCACAGACCATGTGCAGAACTGTATTTTTCTATGATCCTAACCCCTCTTCCTCACAGATTGCCAGAAATAAATTGTTGGCTAGACTCTACAGGCACTGCACTACGATTCTTCCCATAAGACACTGACCATTTCTGTAATATCCAAACCAGTCTCACAACTGGGAAAGCTGCCCCCAGCTCCACTGGCCCTGTGCTAGTGGGTTCTCCCAGCCAACACCAATCCCACTCCATACACAAAGCACTGGATAACTGCTGATAGCAGTTCAGAAACAAAGTGCCTTTCTGGGTGCTCAAGGCTTTCTGGTCAAAACCTCAAAACAAAAGTTCATTTATTCCCTCTCATTGGAGCTGACAGGACAAACCTGGGCTAATGCCTGAGGGAAGAGCTGTGTGTGCAGGGAGGTGGGGGGAACAAGGAAGGTGGGGGGAACAGTGAAGGTGTTTGGCACAGGAAGGTGGCTGGAACAGGAAGATGGTGGGCACAAAACAGCGGGCAGAGGAAGGTGGTGGGCACAGGGAAGGTGGAGCAGGGGAGGATGGTGGGCAGAGGGAGGCGCTGAAAACAAGGAGGTGGTGAAAACAAGGAAGTGGTGAAAACAAGGTGCTGGGCACAGGAGGTGCTGGGCAGGCCATACCTGGTTGCTTCGGGCATTCTCACACACGAAGGCTTCGTAGGCAGCCGCAAACTTGGGAGCGTTGTCATTGACATCAACAACCTTGATTGCAACGGGAACTTTGGTTTCCTGGTGCTGTTTGTCTGCGGGAGAGGCAACACTGACATGAGACAGAAGCAGGAAAACCCCTCAAAACAAACAAATCCCCAGCTGCATCCAAGGAAAGATCAAATATGCTGATGTAATTCTGCTGAGATTTCTTGCAGTTTATCAAACTGAGACAATTGGAGGATTACAGATTCGTACCACTGATTCTCAAACAGCTCAGTGAAATACTCACGGACTTCAACTGCAAAGACAGAGATATTATGCCAAGCCATTTCTTCCCTATCCAAAGTCTTTATTGTCTTGATATTGCCATCTTCTGCATTAATAACAAAATATCTTTCAAGGTCGGTGTGTCGATCAATTGAATATCTAAAGAAGATTGAAAGCCAGTAATTAGAGAAAAGAAGGACTTAGGAGTTTCATGCACCAAGATTTGTTCTATATAATTTTTATTTCTAAATAATTGTAAGTAGTACCCCTATTGTTGTCCTCAACATCATTGTCAAAAGGACAATATGTGTTCTTTAAAAGGAGAATCACCTGGTTGTTTTCTACATTTAGAAAAACAGGACATCAGAATGTTTGTAATAAGTGAAAATGCTGGTCTTTGAAGTCTCTATATCAAAGCTGTAATATATTCTTAATTTTCTTCTCTTATAAAATATGATAAAAATATCTACTGAGATATTTTTCTCTTCTGTTTCATATGAATCTTGATGATCTTTTAAGTCTTCCAATCTTTGGTTTACTTGGAATATTAATTGATCATACCAATTTATCAGCTATTATCCACTCTCTGCACATTTGTACAGCTTTATACAACCCTGACTTTCATAACTTCATGTTAAAATTCTTTGAAATGTTAAGTATACCCACAAAAGAGGTCTTCATTATTTAAGTTACACTGAGAACATGGCAAATAAAATTAAATTAATAGAAAGCTATTATAATATAAGAATTCTTTCCTCTGAGGGTGGGCAGGCCCTGGCACAGGGTGCCCAGAGCAGCTGGGGCTGCCCCTGGATCCCTGGCAGTGCCCAAGGCCAGGCTGGACACTGGGGCTGGAGCAGCCTGGGACAGTGGGAGTGTCCCTGCCATGGCAGGCATGGAAATGGATGAACCTTAAGATCCTTCCAGGCCAAACTATTCCATGGGTCTGTGATTCCAAGCTGATCCAAGATAACTGCAGAAAGTAGGGGTCTGTGTGGGCTTGTCTTTAATAATTAACACTTAACAATTACCCAGCCCAATCCCTAATCTACATCTTAGACTTTGATATGATGAGAAAAATCCATACTGTGATAACAGCACAAGATATTTGTGGAAAATTTAATTTAGAATAGAGTCTACCAAAGATGCCCTTAAGTATCTTTGAATTAGACATAGTTATAGTATGATACAGGCTTTGAGAAACTGGCAGCTTGTGGAACAGGCACATAAACAATGCTGGATGGTTAAATTTTCAATATTCTGGGTGTCTGTAGATCTGTCACACTGTCTTCAGAACTCGCCTAACAATTCCACAAGCTAATGCTCAGAAGGAAACAGGAAATCCAGCAAACCTTATAGCACTGTTGGCAGCATCCGGGTCTTTGGCATGTACTTTTCCAACCACAGTACCAGATGCTGCATTCTCCTGTACTTCGAAAATGTAACTCGGCTTCAAAAACACTGGTGGCTCATCCGCATCTTCCACTGCTATTTTCACTGTCACCGTGTCCTTGAAGGGCCCGTTGCTGATGAACTTGGGGTCAATGTGGACATTGGCTGCCTCCACCTTCAGGCTGTAGGACTTTTTGGTTTCATAATCTAAGGTCTGTGAGAAACAAGAGGACAGTGCATTCCATTGTCAGGGACACCAGGCTGTAAGAGCAGCAGGCAGCGCCCCAGTGTTCAATGACATCAAACAAAGGTGAGCGTCTGTCAACGAGCTTGGACTGAAATGTGTGTATTTAAAAACATAAAGACTCAAATGGAAGGAGCTACATTCTATGTATGGAGCAGCATAGAAAGGCACTCAAAATATGACAGGGTCTTGGTCTTGTCTTTGCTTGCTGTATCACTAAGGAAATCAGCTGTACTGGAAATGTGAATTTTGTCTCCATCCAGCCTTCTAGGCAGCACAAAAGTGCAAGAGATGGGAAAGGGGCTCCCACAAGAGGCCTGGCTTTATCCAGGTTGGCAGGCATTCCACGTGGATGTGGTTTCAAGTGCTCCTGGGTGCACCATGAGATAGCATACTGATGAGTTAAATTATTTAGGTAGTGGAGAAAATACAAAGCTGGTTTGGAGTGCTTTCATTCCTGCAGTTCTTTCCAGCACAGAAAACTCATAACACTTTCCAAAAGGGAGGTGGAATAATGCCCCATGGGACAAGTCCTTTTGAGAGCCTGTTCAAAGCCACAGCACCTCTGTACCTGCACTGGCATGAAGCGGCTGCAGGGTTGCACCTCAAAATGATCACACAGGTGCCAATCACAATTCACAAAGTATGTTAACACCAGTAGAGGGGAGTGACAGCTCACCTACATTTCGAAACACACAAAAAATCCACTCCCACCTCTAGAACAGAGACAGAAATCAAACCAGGGCAGTTTTGAGTGGAGGAGACCTCTGGGTCCCTTCCTGATCGTCTGCCCTAAAGGGCAGGGCAGGGTTGACCAGAAGTTGACCAGGCCTTCCCCTTTGATTTCTGATTATCTTCAAGAGAGATAAATAGCTCAAAGATACAAAAGGCAAAATGATAATACTTCCATAATAATAAGATTTATGTTCTGTAATTTGCAATTTAAAATTGATTTGATAACACTTTCAAAGCTCCCGCTGACGGGCTGTGTGTGAAATGCCCTCTGCTGCTTTTCCCATAGCCTGTGACTCCTTCAGAACACTCTTGTGGACAATGCACAGCTGAAGAATTCAAACTATAGGGTATGAGGCTTTTCAGACTGAACATAAAGCAACAGTGAATGTCTGCTACTTATCAGCACTAGGCAAAACTTCATTAACAATGAAGCTGATGGCATCGTATTTTACCGTGACTTTTTATTATGAATTCATTTAGTTTGTGCAATTAATCCACTGTACAGTATTTATGTAACTCTTCTTGGTTATTTTCTTCCATTCCAATTCAGCTAATGGGGAAATGGAATATTAAGAGTTAATCACACCTTGAAAAATTAATTAAGCGAAATTTGCATTTAGTAATATTTTAACTTAGGTGGTAATCCATTGTTACCAAATATTCTGCCAGCAAAAAACACTACATAGCAGTAGGCATCACTCACCTTCTTAAGCTTCACAACCCCTTCCTGAGTCTCATAATCTGTGGTGATTTCAAACATGTCCATGCCATCTCCATCGATGATGCTGTAAGCCACCAAGCCATTCTCCCCAATGTCAGGATCTTTGGCCTTCACTCTCCCCACTTCCTCTCCTGGGACAGCTGCTTCCGACACTGACATCTGGTACACACCTGGGCCAGGGAGCACAGGGAGAACAGGCGTGTGCCCCGAGTGAGCAGGGGCTCCCCACTTGGGTCTTTACTCTTTGAACTCGGGAGTTCCAATAAACACAGTGATTTTTGGCATTGTCACCCCCGTGGAGGAATGTTGTGTTGTGTTGTGTTGTGTTGTGTTGTGTTGTGTTGTGTTGTGTTGTGTTGTGTTCTGAAGAGCTTTGAGCAGCAAGTCAGCTGTGAAACCTTAACCCACATGGACAACGTGTAGAACATGACCTCCTCCCTGTTACCCCCCTGCTCAGGGAGGGGCTTAAAAGGACAGCCAGGCACCCAGAATGCAGCAATTGTTGTGGCATCAAGGTTACCATCGATAGCAGAGATGTTGTTACAAAAATGGAAGGAAAACTCTCTCACATGACTCATGGTAAAACCTTCATGTCTGTTTCTCATTTCTGCCCATTCATTCAAGAGCCATAAATTAGACACAGTGAACTGGATAAATCCTGTCTGCTGTGCTGGCTAAAGTATAAATCTGCTGCTTTCTATGGCTTGAATTTGGAGTGTGAATGTAGAACAACTATGATTATTAAAATTTCACACCACAGAGAGTATGCACCAATTTGTGTGTGATTTCATGACAAAGAAAAAATGGCTTTCCCATGGCAAGCTCCAATAGGAAAACCATCCCCAAACATCCCACAGGTGTTTCCCTGGGTATTCAGGAACACCAGGGAAGAGCAACACTGTTCCTGGATAAATATCTCTACAACAGTTGTCCTTCAGGCACTACTGATTCCAGAACTTTCCATCCACTTCCAGAGTTCAGATAACATAACCTGATCCTAAATAGATAAATCTATGTCAGCATTTTCTGCCACATCATCATCAGTAATAAACTGGGGAGGGAAAAAAAAAAAGGGGGGATAACAAAATAAAATAATCTAATTTATTCCCCTTTGTAATTGCTCTTCTTTGCTCCATGGGCACCCTAGGAACATTAGGAGACTTACACCAGGCAGGGACTTGGCTCATTACCCATAAAAACAATTGCCACGTCATTGAAATAGATCATTAACTCCAGTCACAAAGAACCCAAAATTTAAGCATATAACTCATTAACAGCTTGAGCAATGAACATTAAAAACAAAACAAAAAAAAACAACAACAGAAAAAAGGAAAATAAGAATGAAAATATCAGTCATTTGGCTGTTTATACAGACAGCTAAACCCTGGTTCTGAGTTACAAAACATTCCCAAATCAGATTTAACCTGGGGATGAATGATTAAGTAGAGGAACTGCTTTTGGACGTTTCTGATAATTTAACATGTTCTTGCAAAACACTCCGTGAAGGGGCTTGAATTCATAGAAAAAAATCCATAATTTGATGGAGTTAACAAAATATTGTATCTTGGTGTCCCAGGTTATGATGTGGAGGGAAAAGGCTTGTTTGTAAGGTACATAAAAGCTGATTTTTTATTATTTAATCCTTCTCTTTTTGAAGGGTAAATAATGCAGACACAGATTTTTGCATTCAGCTCTTGCATGAGAAGTCAGGGAGCTGCAGCGCTGGAAGAGGAGCTGTTAGAGCTGTTAGGGGGATGGCCATGGCCAGGACACACCAGGGTCAGAAGGGCTGCTCACAGGAGAAACACGGTGGGCTGAGACAGCTTTGAGTGAGTCTGCTCTGCACCCAAAAAACCCCAAACCCATGCAGAGATGAGCTGCACAACAGATGTGTGGGCCCATTAATGTACTTCCACCCAGCTGTGAAGGCTGAGTCTGGTAATGTCAGCCCTGATTAATTTTATATGTGAAAAGTAAATTGCTCAGGTATAAAAAAATTGCTGAGTTTGACCTCCATTAATACATTTCAACAATTTAAAAATGTAATTGTGCAAAATTTAGTTTGCTTTGTCATGGTAACTATGAGTCTTGAGGAATATATACATAGGTCTCTCTGCTCATATAAGTTATACAGCATGGCCCAGTAGCTTCATAAATGAAGTGTAGGGTCAGAAACCTTTGCAATTCAATGCTGGCCCTAAAAATGTCTCACTTTGCAACAAGAAGCAAATATTCCAGACACTAAAGTTACATATTTTACCAGCCACAACTTCTTTATTCATGTGTGGTGCAATAATCCATCAGTTATTGCTTCTTCAAGCCTTGGGTGTGTCTGATACTTGACAAACATGGGTCCTGGTAGGAGATGGGAGAAGGATTGTGTTGGTACTCACTCTGTGGAAACTTTGGTGGGTTGTCATTGACATCTGTAAGCGTAATTGTCACTTTGGTTGTCCCTGAGAGGCCTCCCATGTGTCCTCCCATGTCCTTGGCCTGTATCACCACGTGGTACTCCTCCTTGGCCTCTCTGTCCATGTTGGGAAGGGCAGTTCGGATGATTCCTGCAGGCATGAGGAAGGTGTCAAACACAGATTTAATGAAAACCTGGCTGCTGCATTTGGAGTGCAATAAACACAGCAATATTTGCAGTGATGGTGGAGGTTCTGCTTTCCCTGAGCATTGTTGTGAGGAAAGCAGCCCTAATATTCCACCCAGAGGACAGGCCTGCAGAATTACAGCTGAGCACAGAAACAGCCTTTCAATCATACAGCACACAGGACACCCAGAAACAGCATCAGCTTTCTGGGGCAGGAGCTCCAGCAGATGCAGGAGACCAGCCTGCAGCAGAGCAGGAAGATGTGCTCAGACACAGCAGCAGCTGTGCCCTGCCAGTACATGCAGTTCATTGATGCACTCTGGTCATGAGGTGCCACTCAAATAAACTGTCTGACAATACCTGTTTGAGCCTCCACTGAGAAGTAGGGCTGACCTTCAAGGATACTGTAAACCAATTTGGCACTGTTCCCATAGGTAGGGTCATCAGCATCTGAAGCTGTTACCTGAATAACTGATGTACCTAAAAATGGAGAGCAAACACAGGAGGGAGAGTCAGAGGCGAACACGTCTGGAAGGATCATGCAGAGATGCTTTCAGACACACAGCAGAGCTATTCCTAAAATTTTTTATTTCCATGTTTGGTAAATGAAAATCAAAATTACTTTCCAATTTCTATATGACAAAATATACTTGTATGATCCAAACAGATCTGTCACCAGCTGTGATGTGGATTAATGTTCTAACCAGCAAAGATATAAAAGTCAGCAGTCACCCTGCACCGTTATGGTTTTTCCCCTCAGTAGTTTAAGCCTTATATTGCTTTTGTCGTTAGACAGCAAAACAATAGAGTTCTCCTTTACATTTTTCTCAGTAAGTTTCAGACAAATAATTCCTGTAGAAATCTCTGAGACAGACACAAGCTCAAACAGGAGATGAAAATGGAATAGTTGGTGAGGCAGTAACTTCCCAGCTTTATTACACAGCTCTGCCAAAGGAATGATCTTTGTGTTTACCCCAGAGGATTCACACTCCATAAATTCCAGGGGACTCTTCTGCTCCTTCCTAGGAGGAAAAATAGTTCTATTCTAGGACCACCAGTTAGGAGCTGTGCAGGGTTTGATTTGGGCAGCAGATTAAATACATCAAGTGAATCACTGGCTGAACACGAAAGTAAATTTTACTTCCCTCAATCCTTGACAATAGGAATGAAATAAAGCCAAGATATCCTGAGAGTGCAGCACCTTCCACAAGGACAGTGCCCTTCTGAGTACTCACCTACATTTGATCTCTCGGGCACATTGGCATGGTAGTTTTCATGGAGAAACTCAGGCGGGTTGTCATTTATGTCTTGAACTTTGACAATGAATTCAGAGGGGGGTTCCAAAGGTCTGTTTGTGTTCCTGTCCACAGCCTGAGCTGTCAGGGTGTACTGAGCTCTCTCCTCCCGATCCAGTGTCTTGGTTGCATGGATGTTCCCTGATTTGTCATCAATAACAAAAATGATTCCTGCTCCTTCACCTGAGAGAATGTATTTAATGTTTCCATCTCCAGAATCAATATCTGAATGAAGCTACAAAAGGAGAAACAGATATACCTTAACAAGGGGGCACATATTTGCTGGATGTGCTTATACAACAAAGAAATGCAGAATTGCTATCATTTCACAGTTTTCAACAATTGTGGCTTCCATCAGGCAATAATCCACACTCAGGGACATGCTGTGACTACGGGTACCCTGCATCCAGGGCAGTGCCAGCCCAGACATGCCTCCTGCCACATGCAGGGCTCCACTAAACCCAAAATTTCAGATTTAAGGAAGAAAATACAAAAAAGATGCTTATAGCAGGTTCTTTATTCGCATGAAGTTGGTAGGAGGAGTAATTTTTACAAAGCTTTTGTACACTTCAGTGAGCCATGTTCTACTGGGCTGCATGTAAAATGCTGTTAAATAACAAAGGGGATGAGTTAAGTGATAAATGAATGAGTCCAGCTGTGTCCAGGTGTGCAAGAAGGCCAAGGGCACCCTGGCTTGTAGCAAGCACAACATGGCCAGCAGGACCAGGGCAGTGACTGTCCTGTGTACTGGGGACACTGCTGAGGCCACACTCGGGGCTGTGTCCAGTTCTGGGCCTCCCCATTCAGGAAGGACATGGAGGGGCTGGGGGTGTCCAGGGCAGGGAACAGAGCTGGCAAGGGGCTGGAGAATCCCTGAGGAGCTGGGCAGGGGCTCAGCCTGGAGCAAAGGAGGCTCAGGGGCCCTTGTGGCTCTGCACAGCTCCTGCCAGGAGGGCACAGCCGGGGGGTCGGGCTGTGCTCAGGGAACAGGGACAGGAGCAGAGGGAACGGCCTCAGGCTGGGCCAGGGCAGGCTCAGGGTGGGCACACCAGGAATTTCCCCATGGAAAGGGGGCTCAGGCCTTGGCAGGGGCTGCCCAGGGGGGTTTGCAGTGCCCATCCCTGGAGGTGTCCCAGGAAGGGCTGGAGGTGGCACTCAGGGCTCTGGGCTGGGGACAGGGCGGGCATCGGGCACAGCTGGGACTCCATGGGCTGGGAGGGATTTTCCAATGTCAGTAATCCTGGGATTCTGTGTGATTCTGTGTGATTTTGCCAACTAGTTTTTAATTACGCCCTCCCTAATATAAAAGAGACAACAAATGCTTACTAAACATTCTTAATTCCAAAATCAGTGCACATTTCAGTTTGATGAATGAGGGAAACATTGAGCCAAATTACAGATTTATTGATTTTATATTGACAGCTACAAATTGCACCATTTTAAACCAGAATACCCAGCATGGTATTTGCTGACATTGATCCTGCTTCTCCACTCCTTTTGTGCTGTGGTTAAGTCAACACCATTCTGCTGCTCAGTTAGAAACTGGCAAATGTACTGGTTTATTTACCTGTTTATATTTTACCAGTGTGAGACAGTAGCAGAATAAAAAAACCAGTCCAGGATGTGTGTACATATACATGTGCACACAGATATTTACCTTCCTCTATACATGGCCCTCAATATATTTCATTTTACTGATAATTTGAAAATGAGAGGATAAAAAGATACCTATTTTACTGAGCTGCTGGTTTAGACATTCAATTTTAATTGCTGTTTTTAAAGACCTGAGAATGATATTCTTGTGACATATTTTTGCTCAAGCTGTTGGTGTGGTTCTTGCTGTTTTGCTGAGTAACAGCCTGCATACCTTCATTCAAGGACTGCTGAGGTCAATGGATATATTTGTATTGACCTAGGTAGTATTTTGCTTAGCATCTAAACTTAGCTACCAGAAAATGAAGAAGCAGCTTATAAAGCACAAAGGCAACAGGAAAAAAAAAAAAAAACAAAAAAAACCCAAAAAAACCCAAAACAGCCCAAAATCACCCCAAAAATAATAAAAATGAAGCATACTAATGACTGTCTGAAAAAGGTATAGTTTCTTACCCTTCCTACGAGCACAGGATCTGGCCCCGTGTACTCCTCGATGACGAAGAACTGGTTCCACACCCAGCCGCGCTTGGAGCGGTGCAGCACCTGTCCCTCCTTGCCCCGCTCGCGGTGCCCGTGCAGCGAGGGCCGGGCGCGCTCCCCTGCCAGCCCCTGGCTGCAGCACAGCACCCCCAGGCACAGCAGGGCCGCCCGCACACAGCGCTCCTCCTTCATTCTGGTTAGAGCCTAGGCACAGGAGGATCCGAGATTCCGCCCCTTCCACCTGGGCAGTCAGCAAGTCTGGGGCCACCGGGGAGGTTCAGACCAACCCTTGTGCACATAGAATGCCACCACGCATTAAACACATCACCTTAATGCTCTGCAGCTTCCCAGCTCAGTTCCTGCAAGAAGGGAAAATGGAAAAAATCGTCAGTTGTTTGAGGATCTAGTAGGGCTTTTTATTTACTAAAACAAAACTAGGACTTGGTAAATATCAAGATAAGAAGATTAAAATAAAAACATCAATGCTGATGAAATCCTGAGTAATGAGCAGATTTGATGTTTTGCTACATGCAGCTGCCACCTTGCACAATCTCCTGGCTGGCTTGTTTGGCCACTCAGTGGCTGGAAGTTGAAAGGTAGATAGGGAATCATATTTTCTCATGATCTTCTCAAATAGATTTAGCCCAAAATGCAAGGTAACTGTAGAAATACCTAATTTAGACCTAATCCCTCTTTTGGAGCTTAGATATAAGCCTTTGATATAAGCTGCTAAGGCAGAGGTCCAGATACAAGGGAGATCCCAAGACTTATCAGGAATGCAATATTTCTCCACCAGCCCTTGCATGATCAACACATCCTTATGCTGAACATAACACCCCTGGTTTCTTCTGGGCAGGAGCAGGGGCTGGCAGACCTCCAAGGAGCTCCAGTTTGGATTTAGACCCTGGAAGCGCCTCTGAGGATCAAGGCACCACCAGCACTGATTGCCAGTGT